GGGAGCTAGCAGGGTTCAGATGGCTCTACATTAAGAGGCCCCAAACTCAGAAAGTACGGGGACATGGCTCGAAGCACAAGAGACATACAACAAGATGAGACTGAGAGTGACCTAGAGGGATGAGTGAGGACTCGAGTCTAGTGTTGGCCATGCTCTCTTCCATGTACTCTGTGAGATTATTATGAGTTCTCATTCTTCCCTCACTTAACTATGTCATTGCTTGAGTCAGTCAGTCTTGCTTCTTTGCATTGCCATGCTCGATGTTTGCATTTCTCTAAAGGTTCTGTCAAAGTTCTCAAAATCAGATTGACATAATTGATGCATGCATAACTTTCTACAATTTTTATTATTATTATTTGCAAGATTCTGCTGTCCCGAATCAAAATAAAAGATTCCTAAGACCGGGGACCGGCGAAGACCGCAATTGAAGGGTCTCGCTCGAAGCCGGACGCACACAAAAGGAAGGGATCTGCATTATTTAATTTAATTTATTTGTTGCAAATAGCATTAAATCGTGCGTGACAACCTGTTGCCTTTCTGGTCGCCCGAAGTGGCCCGACTACAAAAAGTGCGACAACGTGCGTGGGCGGGATCAGTGCACGTAACTAACTTTAGGGGAAACAATCGAAGATGGACTTAGTGTGCATGTAAGTTCCGACCGAAGGTTTAGAGGTGCGCTTTTTTTTTTTTTTTTTTTACGTGTGGACGACTTAGGAGGCAGAGATTGTTGTGTGCAGGTCGGCGTGATACCGGTTGTATATATGTGGGTGGCTGGTTGTGTGTATTCATGTTTTCATTTGTTTGATGGTAAGCAATTCCAAGGCGGGTGAGAGTCTAGGAAGGGCAAAGAATGCTGCGATCCTGTCGCTTTATGACCGAACGACAATCACACTACCGGTGCAGCGTTATCAACGTCCAAATGCGGACGTGTTTGTGGGACAGATGCAGAAAATCGCGTTGAGTTTCCTCTTCCGCACATCTCCACAAACACGTTCAGATTCGGGGGTTGAGGAAACTCAATGCTGCTACCGTAGTGGGACTGGGTCCCTGCTCGAAGATACAGCAGCATCCTATGGTCACAAAAAGGTGCGTTTCCAGCCTGTGGTGGTCCTAGTGTAAAATGTGATCCACGTCCACCCTGTCGTGTATGAACAAAATGTGAACCCGGTCCAAACAATCGGTTCAGGTACAGGTCCAAACCTTTGGTCCATGTCCAATATGTGATCTCCTTCCTTGTGGCTTTCAGGTCCAGCCTATGACCCAGGTCCAGAATGTGATCCGAGGCAATCTGTGCCGGTCTCGGGGCCAAGTCCCAGTTACCCGAATTCTAAATCTCCAACCATAGATCAGGAAGGTCAACGGTCAGAAATGAAGAATCAGCGTAAGTGCGAAGTGGGACTTGGCCCCTTACGTATCAAGTTCCATCATTTGGATTCGAACCTAGGTCTGTATTTCATCAGTTCATATGTAATTATGGCCGTGTCTGGACTGAAAGCTGCGTCAAATACAACTATAATGACCGGGCGTTCTATTCGGCTGAAGACGGGTTAGGCTTTTATGGGTTCAGTTACTGGAAGTTTTTTTTTTTTTTTTTTTTTTTTTTAATCAGGTACTGGAATTTCAGTTCGGCCCAGGGAAGCAAGCGGTCGCGCTCCAACCGCCAATGCTTGGCGATGACCGGTAGTCCTGGAAGTATCGACTTAGGCGCACCAAACGAGCTAAATGTGAATGAACCTTCCGCTAGAACATGGAAAGATGCAATGCCATTATTTTGATATTTCTTTGGTGCATTTCCCCTTCCAACCCCCGCGACGCTGGGGGGGGGGCGGCAGGGGCAGGGGCAGCGAGCTCCCTGCTTCGGTGAAACGCCCGCCATCCTGGCTGCGCCCCCACGCCCAGTGTGGTATCAGTGCAGGAATTCCTAAACATAGACTAGCGGGAATTCCTAATCGTCTAGACTCAAAGTTGGTCCAAATACATCCCCAAAATACCCCAAATACATCTATATTGACCGTACGTTGTATTCGGGTGAAAATGGTAGTCTAACCGCCCAGAAATTCCTAAAATCCTAAAATCTCTAAGGACTCTCCTGTAAGTTTTAGGCCTCCGAAGTCCTGAATATAACCTATACTCCATTCTTCAGAGGCCGACGGGGCTTCGGAGCAAAATGGCTGTCGCCCGCAGCCAAAACGAAGGACAAGAGTAGCCCTAGCAGAAAGAGGCTTGGAGGTTAAGAAAAAAAAAGAAGTGGGCCAACAGTTTTTCATTCCATTGAATGTTGTCGCAACATGTCACACGGCGGCCGCACATTGTCGCACAGGGTCAACTACACCCTCTATCCAGTGCTAGTGGAACCGCTCTCTGAGTGCCAGTGGAACCAATCTCTAGGGACAAAGTCCTACTCGCGGGGCACAGGGCTTTAGACTTGGTTTCGAACGCAGCGGTTCCTGCCATCCTATCTGAACATCTGGCGGTCGGACTGTGGCCACGTGGGAAGAACTCGAAAGGAAGACCAAACCGGGAAACCTCACAAACAACCTGGGGGTACCGAGCCCCCGAGCTTTTCGGAATGACGGATTTTCGAATTCGCCCAGGGCGATGTAGTGGCGGTTTCACCCATCTCGTGAGGAAGATCAGGTAGGCGGCCCTTCGGCGAAGAGTTGCAACTCAGCTCGCTGCGACATGCCCTTCTTAGCAGCAGCCGCGGCTCTCCGTCTTTGCTTGGCTTCCGTGGAGCTTGAATGAAATCAGAATCCGTTCGTTATTCGAGGCAGATGCAGATGCCCCTGTATCGACTGGATCAAGGGTGGTATTGTATTGTGCTCCCATCGCGAGAAAGAAGGCACCTCAGTCCCGAAGTAGAGATTGGAGGGGGGCTGTTCTGCCGCAACTGGCAATGCTGGTTTGCTCTGTTCAGTCAGTCAGTCAGCGGAGACACAGAATCTGTCGTTTCCATGCCACGCGAATGTCAAGGAACCCGGCTTCAGGGAGCTCATGCCTGAGAGGGGCTGACCAGCGGGGGTGCGGGCGCGCGTGAGGGTGGGCGGGCGTGCAAGAGCGATTAAGAGGGATAGTCGGAGCGCTTCATAGAGAGAGAGAGAGAGAGAGAGAGAGAGAGAGAGAGAGAGAGAGAGAAGAGTTGATTGTGGTGCGCGGCACTCATAGCCAGGATCCTCTATGGACATAGCAGGAGGGCTCGCAGTTTTTACAACTTTGGACGGCGTACTGAATCTCTCGTCGCAGTTCGGAAGCGCGTCGGCAGCAGCGGCTGCTGCCGCCGCTGCAGCGGCAAGCCAGGCCCAAGTGCAGCACGTCACATCCTCCGGAGGTAGCAGTCCGCAGGAGAAGAAAGGAGGTGGAGGAGGTGGACGTGAGCTTGTGCCCTTTTCGGCGACTAGCCCTGGAGGGACCGCCGCGAGCACTAATCCTAAACATCCAGACATGCCGTCCACCGGGAGCTACGCCAGTCAGGCCGCTCAGCGGTTGAAGGAGTACATGCCCGACTGTAATGCCGTGAAGGTGGAACCATTACTGCGGCCGATGATGACCAAACCGCCAGCAGCGCCCACGGCTGGCACCTCTACGGCTCTTGTCGTTCATACGGAATCAAGTTTCGACGAGAACCGTCTCATACAAGCAGAGTCCAGCCTTTCTGCGGCTAGCAGCTACGATACCGGGCTCAGCATAGATACGCGGAGTGCAGAACTGCATTCTAACGGCGCCGGAGCGAATAACACCGGTAATATATATATATTTTTTGTTTTGTTTTTTGTTTTCCAAGTTCTACTTGTTGATGCTCGTTTGCTTTCCTTCCTCTCTCACTTGGCCTCCTCACGGCCTGTTTCCTCCTCCCCACCCCGTCTTTATGGCCACCTTTGTATCTCTTCCATTTTGCTCTCGTGCCCGACCTTGTCCTCCCTCCATCCTCTCCGTCTCATCTGCTCGCCTTTCTATACTCATATTGCTTTTTTTTTCACTGTTTCTCTTTCTACTTCTCATTTCTCTTGATTTCGCTCACATGTTCATTCTGTGTTTTTTTCTTTTCTCTGTCGTCTCGCTCATTGCCTTCTCTCTCTTCCTGTCACTGCCTTTCTTCTCCTGTCCACTCCCTTCGGGCTCGTCCTCTTTCCTTGTGCATTTGGAGCTTTGTGTGTGTTCTTTCTTGCTCATCTCCCTCTTCCGCCTCTCGTTTTGTTTGGATTCTAGCTCATCTCGCTCTTTCTTTGGTCCCTACGTTCCTCCCTCCCTCTTAATCCCTCTTCCTTTCTTCCTTCCCTTGCCTCTCTATTTTTCATAAGCGCCTTCTTTCTGCTTCCTGTTGCCCGCGTCCCTTTTCCTTCTGTTTGTTTCTGCACTTCGTGAGTACCTGCAGTTACTGATGATGCACTCTTTTTTATTTCCCCTTCTTCCAGGCTTTTTTGTCTTGAAGCTTGCAACGTGCCAGCATTGTCAAACATAAGGGAACGAAAGGAAAAGCTAATACCGGGAATTTGCAGTAGGTTCTGGTGCAACGTGTTCCGCAGCATCAAGAGCGGCCCCGATTTCATCCCTTGTGCTCGCCCATACACATGTGCAGCCGTACACGCGTGAGGTCATCAGTCGTCAGTGGCCTCTTTACTTTATCCTGCCACACCCCCTGCCCCGTCCCGCCCTGTCCTTCCTACCCTTTCTCGCCCCGCCCCCCCCGGTCCCGCGCCCACCCCCCCCCGAGCCAGTATAATGAGGACGGAGGCGGACAGCTTGTGCCCTATCATCATTTATCCTCGGCCTGACAGGCAAACGGTATACTATGCCGCTATTGCGGAGACGCTGCATTGAGCAAAAACCGACAGGATGAGGGCTATTCTGTCACCTTGTTTTACGTATCGGATTACTCTACCAGGTCTCCCAACGGGAGGCATTTCTCCATGCACGCTTTTTGCCCTGCAGGGCAATGACATTTGAGGCACTGAAAGCAGCAATGTGCGTCGGTAACCTACGAAATTGACCGACCGATCGGCAGCAAAAGGTTGGTTCTCTGATTCCGGCTCACCTTGCCCTGTCCGTTTGCCGTGATGGGATGCAAAACAATCGCTCGATGTTTTTCTTTCTGATGTCACTCTGTGTTCTTCATTCATGATTGCGTCGAGATGTCGGCTACTGGATGTCGCATTGAGATGAGTCTGTGCTCGGGCTCTCGATTCGACGATTGACGGAGAGCAATCTGCAAGATGTCGAGGGGTGCGATGAGTCATCATCAGCCGGCTCAGCTATGTTGTGGCGCAGAGTGCGCACTTTGCGGAGAGAGGACCTTTGCAGAGTTGAGCAGCATGGATCCCACATAGATTGTGCATTATGAGAAGAGTGAGCGGCTAATGTTTTTTCAGTCTGCATCGGTGAACGTGCTTGCTATGAGGCAAGCTTTCCGCATAGCTTTCCTGGAGGGAGCATGCACAACGAGACAGACCGGAAGTTGACGCGCGCACGCTGGATATAATCCTATTATATAGGAAATGCCGCCGTCGACAGAGCTTGAGGTGGATGGGCCGTATGAGCGAAATGCTGTCGGTACTCTGTAGGAACGTCTGAGCCAGAAAAACAAGCGCAGAGCAGATGTAGCAGGCAAGTCAGGGTATTAGTCGTTCTCTTCTCTCTCTCCCCCTCTACCCACGCGATGGTATGGGAAATGCCGCCGTCGACAGAGCTTGAGGTGGATGGGCCGGCTCAGCGAAGTGCTGTCGGTCCTGTGTAGGAACGTCTGAGGCAAAAAAAGAAGAGCAGAGCAGACGCAGTAGGCAAGTCAGGGTAGTAGTCGTTCTCCTCTCTCTCTCTCTCCCTCTAGCCACGATATGGTATGGGAAATGTCGCCATCGACAGAGCTTGAGGTGGATGGGCCGGCTTAGCGAAATGTCGTCGTTACTGTGTAGAAACGTCTGAGCCAAAAAAATAATAGCAGAGCAGATGCAGCAGGCAAGTCAGGGTAGTAGTCGTTCTCCTCTCTTCAGCCTGCTGTCTCGCCGTATCGCTCGATTTCCGCATGTTCGTTCTGGTGGTCTGGCTCCCGCTCTGACTCCCAACCTCTTCTTGTTTCCCGTATTTCTCTCTCCAGTCAGCCTTATCTGTCCATCCCAACCTCTCCTATGGCAAATATTCCATACCCTCCTTGGTCACCCCCTGTGGATATCGTTCACTCTACTTCTCCTGACCGATGTGTAACCCATGGCTCTTTTTTCCTTTCCTTCAGCTGTCTGTCTATGGGCTCGGTCACCAGGAGTTGGCGTTCCCTTGAGTCTCAACTTCCTCCATTCTCCTTCCTTGCTTTCCCTGTCTCGCTCCGGCCCCGTCTCAAATAGCTGGCGGCCCCCTTGAGTGTCAGCATCCTTCCGTTCCCTTTCTCTTGTTCCCTGTGTCCGTCTGACTCTCATTTTCTCGTTCTCTCATTCTTGTCCTCACAATCTCGCTTCTGACCGCACTTTTTGTGTCCATCGCCGTCTATCACTTTCTTAGTAGTGTCGTCGTCTCCCCTTGCCTGTTTTGAACTCCAAGTTGGTGATCGATCATCACGAGGGACGCCACGCGACGTTGATGCAGTGCCCCCCACGAAAGTCTGCTGACAGCACATTCCAGTTTTGAGCGCGTTCTATTGAGTCTCTTTCAACCCCCTTCAGCTATATAACACTTTAATGAGTCAGGGCTCGCAACTGCGAATCGCCATCTATAGCTTGCTTGGCGAAAAAGAACCATCACTATTGCCCCGTGTAAGGGAGAGAGGGGTCGGCTCCGAAACGGATGACCTGCTGAAATGGAGCTCCCAGAGAGAGAGAGAGAGCCTTTGTTGCAGGCTCGGAGCCCCTCTTGGCACTCGGCCTCGGAGAGCTCTTCCTCCCCCCCCCCCGGCCAGGGCTTGGACCTATTCCTCCTCGCCCTCCTGAGTGTATAAGCGTGCAGAGTCACTGCAGACGGCCGAGGTAGCAGGAATGCAGTTTTAGACGATGAGAGCTGGGATGGTCATACCTGAGCTTAGCGGAGGAGGTGCCGTTCAATGATTCTTTTTTCGAGTTAAAGACATATCCAAGTTTTCATCTTCTTTTTCATCGCTTCGCCTACGTGTCTGCTGTCGCTATTCTCGTTCTGTCTGCTCATCTCCCTGCCCGCCTGTCTCCGCTATCCGTAGATCTGTGTGTAGATAACCGCCTTCACTTCCAGTGTCTCTTATGTCTCTGAGTCAATCTTGTTTCTTCCCGGACGTTCATAGCTCCTCGTCTGTACATCTCTGTCCGTCCCGTCATGTCTGGTGCAAAGAGAGATACATTCACCTCCCTGACTTTGTCTATCGATCGAACTTTCTTTTTTCTTTATGTCAGCTTGTCCGTCTTATCGTACGTCTGCCAGACTCTGCCTTTCTCTGTGTTCCAGTTTGTTTGTTCTGATGGATGGGGCTGTTTGCCTGCCTGAGGCTGTTCGTTGTTTGTTTGTCTGTGCAAAGAGAGATACGTTCACCTCCCTGACTTTGTCTATCGATCGAACTTTCTTTTCTCTTTATGTCAGCTTGTCCGTCTTATCGTACGTCTGCCAGACTCTGCCTTTCTCCATGTTCCAGTTTGTTTGTTCTGATGGATGGGGCTGTTTGCCTGCCTGAGGCTGTTCGTTGTTTGTTTGTGGATATTCCGAATGCACCTATGCCTCCTGTGCATGTCTGTCTGTGGGCCCCGCGCAGGAGTGCGTTTTGCATACATGGCCTTACGTGGAACATGCACGCTTCTTTATATTGTGCCGTCAATCTTTTCCAGTTTAAGAAAGATTGCATGTATCCACCAATGCGCATTGCGCATGCGTGAACGCGGACATGGAGGTGTGCGGAAATCGCGGGCTCCTTCGAACACCCGAGCACGTTTATGTTTACATGCATGCGCATCGCCGATCTGCATAATCACGTGTCATCCACCCACCCATCTTGATTATGGACGAGCTCACGCATCTACCTATGGCTCGTCACGTTCTAGGTTAAGGAAACCCAGGACGCGACAGCTACGTTGGGATAGCATAATTTGCATTCTCGCCGCCGTGATGTCCGGTCAGGTGAATAGGAAGATGTATAGTTTCGTCACATGTGAACCGTTCTCTACACAAAGAAGCGCCTCCTAGCAACCAGCTCCTTGTTGCTGCTTATGTTCTATCGAGTCCCCTCCGCAATCGTGTACACCATACCAGCGAAGGCGCCGAAGACCATCACGCTCGTGCCTAAATGTTGCTCGAGCGACATGGCGTCGTTCCTGACGCTCGTGGTAATGGGAGGCAGCTTATACATATGTACATACAAATACATACAACGTGGCTGGTCCGTGGCTGGTCCGTGGAATCTTTTTAAACAGATGACGAGACCAGATTGCACGCATTCCCACGAATCTAAGGGTGTAACGGGCCGACAAGCCACAAAAAACGAGTTACCTCTTCCATGGGTGGATGCTTGTGAGAAGTCTCAGACCCTGCGTCCATTACCCAATCGAACACTTGCGCTGCTCGGAAAAACATCCATCTTGTTTGTGGATGGAGATGATTCAAGGAGTTAGGTGGGTGTGGGGACGCAGCATCGCCGGCTGCAGTCCCAATTGGTGGGTGTGGCACACGTCCCTTCCCAATTTCAAAGCCCACGTCAACAGGCATGCATTTCTGGCGAGTTTTGTTCGGCAAACGAGCAATGACCGCGGACGACTGGAGTTGCAGGAACATAAAGAAAGTCGCTCAGCACTGTCTTTCTGC